AAGGGGTGGTAGTGAAAACTTCATTCTGTAAAGAATTCAAAACTTAGGTTTTCCCTGAAATTTACTTCAAGGTTTCAAACCTGTATGTCATAATGTACACCATATCAATTTTACAGGTGATAGGAGGCTTTTCTGGGCCACATAAACATATACTCCTTTTAATGTCTGGAAGATGAAACCATATTTTGAAGTTTCCTTTTCTTTACTTAATTTTCAAGTAATAGGCAAAACAGTAAACAGGCTTTCAGAACTATAAAAAAAAAGACACCGCGAGTATAAATTTAAGATAACAATCTTAACCTTAGTGTCATTTTCACAATGAGAAAAAGTGCTTGGGTACCTTAACAGTTGATAAAATTATTACTCTAATCACAAGATGACAATCTTGAGATACGTTTAAACAACATCTGGAAAAAGGACAGGAATTCCTACAGGTTTAAATAAGGTAATATTACACAGTATACTGGTTTATTTGTATTAGGATGAAGGTGGTTTATAACAGATGCTCAATATGCATCTAGTATTTGACTCATTTTATATGATGCTGTGCAACTTTCCCTCACAATCTAAGGCATACCAGCATACCTTGAGCCAAATTCAGATACTTCTCTAAATTACAATGAAATGTGCATTAAACTTCCTTTCCCCATACATTTACACACACCTAAACTGTCCACTTTCCACTAAAGGAAATCTTACCTAATCTGCTCAGTCTGCACAATGCCTTCCTTGTGGCCCTCAAGGCGAGCGGCCAACCTCTCTTTATCAAGGCGCACACACTCTTCATCCTGGAAACAAGCGTAGCTCAGTGACTATTTTAAAGCTTTAATTTTTAGAATGAAATAACACTGCATGTTTATGAAAACCTTCACCACAGTCAAAATTTCACTTTGGATCTGGACTGTTTTCATTTGCTGCCATAGGTCCTGAATCCATCAGATCAGGTCAGAACACCAGAAGTGAAGCTGAAATAATGGTTTTCAAAGCCTGTTCCTCCAAACATGAGGAGATGCCAACAAAGTGTCCCTTGGGCTACTTGTCTGAATTCAACCTTGGTAGCAGCTTTTTACCTAATCTGCGTATTAGAATTTCAGGTAAAACTTAGTCTGAAAATGTTTGGTTATTTAAAAATAAAACTAAGCCTGGCAGAGCGTGGCTCAGCAGTTTAGCATCAACCTGAGATCCAGGCGATCGGGGTTTGATTCCCGGTCAGGGCGCATGCCCAGGTTGCAGGCTGGATCCCCAGTCGGGGGCGTGCCGGGGGCAGCCGATCAGTGACTCTATCATCATTGATGTTACTATCTCTCTCTCTCTTTTCCTCTCTCTGAAATCAATAAAGATATATTTTTAAAAAATAAAAATAAAACTGAGCCTGGCCGGGTGTGGCACAGCGGTTGAGCACTGACCTAGGATCCAGGAGATTGCGATTTGATTCCCAGTCAGGGCGGATGCCCAGGTTGCAGGCTCGATCCCCAGTTGGGGGCATGCAGGAAGCAGCTGATCAGTGACAACTCTCTCATCATTGATTTTTTTCCATCTCTCTCTCTCTCTCTCTCTCTCTCTATCCCCCTTCCTCTCTCTGAAATCAATATATATATATGTTGTTTCCTTTAAAAAAAAAAAAAAGTAAAATAAAAATAAAATTAAAACTAAGTAACTCTGATCTAGTTTAGGCTCCACATTCAACAAATGTGACCTGAGTCAGTGTCTATGACGAATGGAACAGAAAATCGTATGAAAAGCATCAATATATGTGAGGTCTAAAAAAATGTTACTATGCTCCAATTCACACACTAATACTCATCTATCATGTAAAACTCTTAAAATAGACATACCGCTGACATGAATGCAGGGATAATACTTTAGGAAATGCAATACATTTTTCCAGAAAAAAGCTCCTAGGATACTATGAGCAAAGAATTCTTATTGCTACAAAATCCCAATTTCGGTAACAATATGAATCACCTTTAAAGTAAAATTCCATTACCTCAATTCGTGGTTTCTTTGCTTCTGCTAAAACTTCATCTGCAGCTCGTTTTACTATAAGAAAAAAAGTGAATAAATGTCTAGTTTTGGAACAGGCTCTTGGAAGTTCAATATAAACACTCGACAAGACATACCTTGCGTAGATCGCTGGAGACCTATTTCTAGAGGGGCACTTCGGTCTATACTGGCCGATGTCGCTGAAGATCAAAAAAGATTTACGTGAGGTAATATCTAAACATATATACTAGATATTACAAGTGAGAAGCTCAAAATTTGTTACATTACTTTATATACGGTGATTTCCCTAGGTAAGTAAGTTTTAAAGCAGCTTTGTAAATACATTTTATTTTATTTTTATTGATCTTCAAGAAGGGAGAGAGGGAAAAAGAGAAACAGATTGGTTGCCTCCAGAACATGCCTGAACTGGGGAATGAACTCACAACCTGAGTATGTGCCCTGACTGGGAATGGAACCCACAGCCCTCTGGTGTATGGGACAACACTCCAACCAACTGAGCCACACCGGCAGGGCTGTAAATGCATTTTCTTACAGAAGATTAATGTGTACTAGAAAATCTATTCGTAGGACAAACTATTTTTAACAATTTAACTTATAAATTATTGAGAAAATCTGACTAAAATCAACTGGTCGCTCCAATGTCATAACACGTGCACATGAAAGTATAGCTAATCATAAATAAATACACATCCATATATACACACATATGAGAGAAAGGGTTTTAAGTTAGCATTCAGTTTGTAATGCAATTTTTATTCATAATTGGTAAAAAATATATATTTTTAAATTAAACCATGTGATTTTTGAATGGCTGAAAATAATGAAAGGATAAACCAGGGATGTGCCTGTCCCATTCATCTAGTCCCCACTACCTCAGGTAACTGCATGTAGAGTTCCTTTCTGTGCAGCACCCAGTACTATGCCTTTGAGACAAGCCCTCGGTAAGTGCCTGCTGAATGCTCAGTGAGGACAGCACAGGAGGCCCACACTCCCAATGACGGTCCTTCCATCACACATGAGGCTGTGCAAAGCAACCGGACTGTTAAAGCCGTGGAGCAGAACACGTGACAAGACACCTAATAAGGACTTCAAGATAACAAACCCCACCTCAGGAAAGGTAAGGCAAACAGTTCTATATCAATTGATTCATACTGTGTAAGATGCAAATTAACAACTCACTTATTCAGGTAAGCACCTACTATTTACCACTGTTCTAGATGCTGGGTAATTATCAACCGCCTGCCCCCTTAGAGTTTTACCCTCTACTGGTAAAAACAGACAATATATAAGTAAACAAATAAGTGTATAATCTCTAGTCAACATAAAAGATTTGCTAAAAAATAAATCAGGATGGTACTGTACATAGACGAGGGGTGAGGGAAAGTGGTGTTGTTTACTTTAGAGGAGTCGGGTAAGTTCTCCCTCACAGACCATCTGAGCCCAGATCGGAATGAAGTGGTAGAAAGTGAGCCATGCGACAAACCAGAAAAACAAGTGAATACAGAGAACAGCCATTGCAAAGGCTCTAAGGGTTACAATAGCTAAAGGAGCCAATAAGACTGGTGTGCTGTGAGCAGAGGACGATTGGCAGAAGGTGAGGCTAGAGACTCAGGCAGAGGTGAGGCCATGCAGGTCAGGGTGGATGTGATGGGAAGCCACAGGATGGCCTCAAGCAGATGAGTGCACAATCGAGTTACATGCTCTTTCAAAAACAGGTCACAGAAAACAAAGTGTGGGGACCCAGGGGAGGGCCACGCAGTAGTCTGAGAGAAAGCGTGGAACAGGTGGGAGGAGACTGGTAAGGAGCTATCAGACTTTCAAGATGGAATGGATGAGCAACCACATGAGCAGCCGACCATGTACCAAGCTGGGAACTTGTCGAATACACTTGCTGTTTTAGTTCTGTTTCCAGGAGCGAGCAGGCAACAGTACCAAGTGCTGTTGAGAGCTGACGCTGTGGGTAAGAGAGACTGAGGGGTTTGTCCATCCCTAGTCCACGTAGTCCTCACAGTAGGGTTTTAGTGGGACATGAGGACAGAAGCTAGGCTAGAGGGCACTCAGGGAGAAGCAGAGGTTAAAGTAAAGCAGCAGCAGGCATATCCCACAACTCTTGCAAAAAATTCTGCAACAGAAAGCAGACCAATGGAGCAGTAATAGTAGGAACATAGGGTCAAAAAATGTTTCGTTTTTTTAAAATGAGATCTTACTGTCTGTATTCTAAAGTGAATGATAAAGAAGAGAAAACTGATGACACAAGAGGAAAGTGACAATTTTCCAAGGCAGAGCCTGGGAGATGTGAAAGGAGGTGCAGTCCCATCACAAGGGTGCCGGGCCTCTAAGACTGTGTTTGCTTTCACAGGAAAGACAGGTGAGCAGATGGGCACAGGTGCAGGTAGGTCAGTTTTTAGTAGGAATACAAATTCTCTTCCCACTGTTGCTCATTTCACGGGG